CTTCTATGAAGTAAAATTTATATGTATCGAGTATATATTTACTCGTGACTATTTAAACAAATTTCCATTAAATTTCAATATATTTTTCGCGCAGTGTTGAAATTTTAAACCAAAAAATGCTTCGGCAATTGAATGTAGCTTTCTCTCTCCCATCAGCCATCAAATCACTGACTAACTATGCTTGTACATACTTTTTAACTGAACTTCTTTTGGACGGTTCATCTTTCCTCTTTTTCGTTTCACGTTGAAGAGAAAAAGAGAAAATATGAAGTGTGCAAGAAATTCAGCTAAACAGAACAGACTTAATGTGTAAAATTTGTTTTGATTGAAATTCAAATTTATCCATAAGGAACTAAATTTTGAAGTATTTAAATCCGCACAATTCAATAATAACGTAATGTTTATGAAAAATTAATATGCCCACTAAAACGATAGCAATTAAAAATTACATATTCAAAGTTTGTTTATTGCTTCTTTTTGTAACGTATATTTTTCATTTGTACTTTCAGATGGTCCACAAAAGTCAGAAGCTCATAATTATCAATTTACAGGAAAAATTGATGAAAGACAATCCAGCAATTTTAATGAAAGATATTATTAAACAATTGTCAGAACACACGGGTATCGGTACTCGCACCATAAAAAAAACATTGTTGGAGTATGAGAAGACGGGTACGGTTACATCCCCGAATACAAAGAAACGTCGTCTAACTTTTAAAGAAAAAATCGACGACATTGACAAGAGCGCTATTCGGAGAAAAGTTCACGAATTTTATACCAATGAAAAATGTCCAACGTTGAGAACAGTTCTGCAAGCCGTAAACACTGACGAAAATCTCCCAAATTTTAAACGATCGACCTTTCACTCGTTGTTGAAGGAATTATATTTTACATGCACTACCCGGCTCCGACGTAGCATCCTGACAGAGAGAGAAGATCTAATTGTTTGGAGGAGAAAATATCTGAGGACTATTGAGAGATACCGAGAAGAGGGTCGGCAAATTTATTACCTGGACGAGACCTGGATTGACGCCGATGACGCCACGAATATAGTTTGGGTGGATGAAATAGTTAAATCCGACGAGGACGCATCTTCTCCGTTGACTACGAGGCGAACTAATCCAAGCGGAAAAGGCAAACTATTTATTGTTCTACATATTGGAAGTGCTGCCGGTTTCGTTCCTGGCGGGCTTCTATGCATCGAATCGAAGAAACACATGGGGGATTATTTTGACGAAATGAACGGCGACACATTTCACGAATGGTTCAAAAATATTTTACCATTGCTAGACGACAATGCTGTTATCGTCATGGACAACGCTCCGTATCATTCCGTGAAGGTGGAAGAACTGCCGAATGCTTCCTGGAGAAAAGACGAAATAATAAAATGGTTAGAGGATAAAGGAAAAGAAATATCAGAGACTATGGTAAAGGCCGAACTCTTGCAAATTGTTACACTACACAAAGACAGATTTGATAAATATGTCACAGACGAAATGGCAAAACAGGCCGATAAAACGGTTCTCAGGCTACCTCCGTATCATTGCGAACTTAATCCGATTGAAATGGTATGGTCAATGGTTAAGGGATACGTTAAGATTAATAACAACACTTTTAAAACTCAAGATGTAAAACTATTACTTGAACAAGGTATCGAACGGGTGACCGCTGAACATTGGAATAATTTTATTAAGCAAGTTAGAGATAAAGAGAAAAAGATGTGGGAGATCGACCATATAGCTGATAGACTGATTGACAGGACATCCTTACATGTCACAGGTGAAACAGATTCTGAAACCTCTGATAG